CCCCTCAGTCTCCTCCAAGCTAAAGAGACCCAGCTCCCTCAGCCTTTCCTCATAAGGCAGATGTTCCACTCCCTTCATCATCTTTGTAGCTCTGCGCTGGACTCTTTCAAGCAGTTCCCTGTCCTTCTTGAACTGAGGGGCCCAGAACTGGACACAATACTCCAGATGCAGCCTCACCAAGGCAGAAGAGAGGGGGAGGAGAACCTCTCTTGACCGACTAACCACCCCTTTCTAATGCACCCCAGGATGCCATTGGCCTTCTTGGCCACAAGGGCACATTGCTGGCTCATGGTCATCCTCCTGTCTAGCAGGACCCCCAGGTCCCTTTCACCTACACTGCTCTCCAGCAGGTCAGCCCCCAACCTGTACTGGTCCATGGGGTTGTTCTTCTCCAGGTGCAAGACTCTACACTTGCCCTTGTTGAACTTCATCAGGTTTCTCCCTGCCCAACTCTCCAGCCTGTCTAGGTCTCGCTGAATGGCAGCACAGCCTTCTGGTGTGTCAGCCACTCCTCCCAGCTTAGTGTCATCAGCAAACTTGCTGAGGGCACACTCTGTTCCCTCATCCAGGTCGTTGAGGAAAATACTGAATAGTACCGGTTCCAGTACTGACCCCTGAGGGACTCCACTAGTCACAGACCTCCAACTAGATTCTGCCCCATTGACCACAACTCTCTGACTTCTTCCTTTCAACCAGTTCATGATCCACCTCACTACCTGATCACCAAACCCATACTTGATCAACTTATCTACAAGGATGCTGTGGGAGACAGTGTCAAATGCTTTACTGAAATCAAGATATACCACATCTACTGCTCTACCATCATCTACCCACCTAGTTACTTCCTCATAGAAGGCTCTAAGGTTGGTCAAACATGACGTTCCCTTGGTAAAACCATGTTGACTGCTCTTAATGACCCCCTCATCGTTGATATGCCTAGAGATAGTGCCAAGAACAAGTCGTTCCATCACCTTTCCAGGGATGGAGGTGATGTGGACCAGTCTATAGTTATTCGGGTCCTCCTTCTTGCCCTTCTTGTACACTTGCCCTTCTTGTAGAGTGACATTTGCTATCCTCCAGTCCTCAGGCACCTCTCCTGTTGCCCACGACTTACCAAAGATGATGGAGAGTGGCCTAGCAATGACCTCCGCCTGCTCCCTCAGCACCCGCGGGTGTTTTCCATCCGGACCCATCGATTTATGGATGTCCAGACTGCTTAACTGATCCCTAACCCGATCCTCATCTACCATGGCAAACTCCTCCTTCATCCTGACTTCTTCTGGGGCTATAGGGATCTGGGGCTCCTGGGGAAAGCCTGCAGCAGTAAAGACAGAGGCAAAGAAGGCATTCAGCACCTCTGCCTTCTTTATATCCTCTGTCACCAGGGCACCCACCTCATTCAGCAGCGGGCCTATATTGCCTCTAGTGTTAGTTCTATCTGCAATGTATTTGAAGAAGCCCTTTCTATTGTCTTTGACCTCCCTAGCAAGGTTTAGTTCCAAGGAGGCCTTAGCTTTCTTTATTGCCTCCCTACATCCCCTGACAATAGTCCTATATTCCTCCCAAGTGGCCAGCCCCTCCTTCCATGATCCATAGATTCTCTTTTTCCACTTGAGTTTGCCCAGCAGTTCCTTGTTTAACCATGCGGTTCTCCTGGCTCCCTTACTTGATTTCCTACCCATTGGGATGCTCTGATCCTGAGCTTGCAAGAAGTGGTCCTTGAATGTTGACCAACTATCTTGAGCCCCTTTACCATCTAGTACCCTGTCCCATGGGACTTCTCTCAATAATTGATTGAAGAGGCCAAAGTTGGCCCTGTGGAAGTCCAGAGTTCTGGTCCTGCTGGGTATTCTGTTCCTCCCACACAGGATCCTGCACTCCACCATCTCATGGTCACTGCAGCCAAGGCAGCCATTGACTTTCACCACTTCAACCAGACCCTCCTTGTTGGTGAGCACAAGATCCAGCAGCGCTCCTCTCCTAGTTGGTTTATCCACCATTTGCATTAAGAAATCATCATCAGTGCACTGGAGGAACCTCCTACACTGAATGGTTGGCTGTGTTGGCCTTCCAGCAAATATCTGGGCAGTTAAAATCCCCCATGAGGACTAAGGCCTTGTAGCTGTGAGGCTGCTTTCAGCTGCCTGTAGAAAGCCTCATCAACTCCCTTGTCCTGATCAGGAGGTCTGTAATAGATCCCCACAACTGTATCTCCCATGCCAGCCTGCCCCTTAATTCGTGCCCACAGACTTTCCACTTGCTCCTCATTGGCCCCTGGACAGAACTCAATACATTCTAGTTGCTCTCTCACATAAAGAGCAACTCCACCACCTCGCTTCCCCACCCTATCTTTCCTAAAAAGGACAGAGCCATCCATGGCCACATTCCAGTCATGTGTGCTGTCCCATCATGTTTCTGTAATTGCCACCAGATCATAACCCTTAGAGCACACACAGACTTCTAACTCCTCCTGTTTATTCCCCATGCTGCATGCATTGGTGTGCAGGCATTTCAGGGAGCGAGCTGAGCACGCTGGTGGCACCTTTGGAGGCAGGAGGCCTTCTTGTCTTCATTAATACTAGAACAATGCCCCAGTAGTTCAAACTCAGCTACAACCGCCTCCCACTTCGAATGTAGTTTAAAGCTCTGTGAACGAGCCCTGCTAACTCCTGCCCTAGGACCCTTTGTCCCCTGTGGGACAGAGGTTTTCCATCCAATGCCAGCAGGCCCAGTGTCCTGGAAATTAAACCATCCAGGAGTTTTGTCCCCTACCCCCTTAAAGCCTAGTTTAAAGCTCTGTCAATGAGCCCCACTAACTCCTGGCCAAGAATCCTTTTCCCCCTTTTTGATAGCTTTATACATGTGAATATATATATTCATATATATGAAATATATATGGATGAAATATATGAAATATATTAACCTAGTCATAAAGAAATTCAAATAAAATTACTTTAAAATCAAATCACTCATCCTAGAAAGTAAGCTTTGTAGTGAAATTAAACATTATTTTTTATAAAAATACATGGTAGAGTTTATTTCCACGCTTATTTTAACACAATCACTATCAAATATGAGGTAAGGCATAAATATCACTGTTGTGCTCCATATATATTTGTGGTTACTATTAGTCCTCTAAACTTGCAGAACATAAAACACAATCAATAAGTAATCAGAAATCCTTACCGCTTTGTACCCCATATCTGCTTTGCATGCTTTTCTCCCTGAAAACATTAGGATTCCTTGCCAGGATAGCCTGAAGCAAGACTGGTATATCTCCCTCTGGATCATCACTGCCAAGGTTATCTTTCAATTCTCTGGAATTGTGGAAGTAAGCAAATAAAGAGGCAAATGCATTTTCAATTCATAAAAATCATGAGTCAAGTAAAAATTAAAAAAAAACCCAGCACACCCAACCAAAACAAAACATGACAATTTACTGCTATAATATAGATAAAAACAACTCTGCAAAGCACTGTTCCCTGCCTCCATATTTTTTTCCTCTCTTCATTAAGGAATGGAAGAAGTATTCTTACTAACCTTCAAAATTATTTTGTTAATAAGCACTTGAAATGGCTGTCATAAAAAGCTTGTTGTGCTCACTTTGGTATCGTGATCTTCTTTATAAAAGAACACTTTGGCATAACATCAAGTATTATTGTAGGAGTGAAAATAAAATACGCATGAATGTATAACATTCAGGTTGCAGCCCAACATTTCGAGAATCTTTTATTTTAAAAAAGGAAAATTAGCATTTCTTTGACATCACAGGATTCCCTTTGAACCATCAAAAATGTAATGGATTTTCTATAAAGGCACCTGTGCTTTTGTTTATTGTTTGCTTTGAGGACTTTTAAAAGCTACTTCTATTTGATCAAAACGATTGGAACATATAGGAAAAAGACAGGGCTGTCAAAATAAGACAATTCAAAACACACCAAAGAAAAATGGAAAAAAAATAAATAACCTATATTAACAAAAAGAGATGTTAGCATACTTGCTGTTTTAATTCTTAAAATATTTAAGTTCAGTATCAGAACTGACATAGGTCTTATATGGGTTTCTCTAAAAATTATATTTTTGTGTAATACTGGGTATATAATTTGTCTATGTGCATTATTAACCAAAGTGGAACAGAAATAGCTATTGCACAATCAATAGCACAAAGTTTGCACTCCTAACTAGTAAGAATGAAACCAGCAGTAGATTTATTTAAAAAAAAAAAAAAGTTATGCTTAAGGGCAGTCAGACAATTACTAACGTTCTGATTGGCTGTAATAATTGACTCTTATACAGCGGTAATCTGATAATCAAAACCCTGTACATTCTAATTTTCAGATTCTCTCAAACATCCTTCTCAGTTCAGTTCATTTTAATTTCAAGGAATAAGGATAGTGATCTGATATAGTTGAAGTTTAAAATACATACATGTGATCTGTTGACACCTGATTGAGACTGTGGATGAGTTGTGAAACAAGATTTTCATCCCTGCATGCCAGAAGGCAGTTCACCTCTTCAGCTATCCGTCCATTGAAAAGTAGGCTTTTTGTTGTTGTAGCAGGTAAAGGTGATGGAAGAGGCAGCTGGTTCAAAACTATTATCAGAAAGGAGTTCATAATCATTTCATGAAACACAAACATGGACACCTTCTTATTCCCTCACCTGATTAAGAAAGAAAACCTGACAACTAGATTTATGGATTATTATTTTTAAATCATGAACACACACACACAAAGGTTGGACTCGGCTTTAAACAAAGTAATGCAGTTGAGTCCATAAGTTATATTATTATTTTCATATAAATATTTAACTGTGTTAAGGCAAGTATTATGAATAAAAACATACTTTTAAACATTCCAGAATATTAAGTTATTTAATGTTATGGCAGTTTTCTCTTGAAGCTGAAAGCATGGATAAAGTGAACGAAGGAAATTCAAAATCCTTGTAGTTGCATGCAGTGCTATAAGTACATTGATCATATGCTTTAAGTTTTCTACTATGACCTTCATATTTAATTATTGTTTCCACTTTGTATGGAATGGGTAGATTAAAAAATAACCAAAATCATAAACCCCACCACCAAAAAACCTAAAAAAACCAACAACCAATTTAAGACACTAATTAAATTCTCAGTTTATTCTTCTCCTGTTGTACTCAGTTCTATGTAAGCAATCTTCTCAAGAAAAGGCTAGTATCATTGGATGCAATGATCATTAAAACGTCAATTCAGTCAATATACCTATTCACAAATCACAGAATCCTAGGGGTTGGAAGGGACCTCGAAAGATCATCTAGTCCAACCCCCCTGCCAGAGCAGGATCACCTAGAGCACATCACACAGGAACGCATCCAGGTGGGTTTTGAATGTCTCCAGAGAAGGAGACTCCACAGCCTCTCTGGGCAGCCTGTTCCAGAGCTCTGTCACTCTCACAGGAAAGAGGTTTTTTCTGATGTTTACATGGAACCTCCTATGCTCCAGTTTGTACCCATTGCCCCTTGTCCTATCACTGGACATCAGTGTAAAAAGCCTGGCTCCACCCTCCAGACACTTGCCCTTAATGTATTTGTAAACACTGATGAGGTCGCCCCTCAGTCTCCTCCAAGCTAAAGAGACCCAGCTCCCTCAGCCTTTCCTCATAAGGCAGATGTTCCACTCCCTTCATCATCTTTGTAGCTCTGCGCTGGACTCTTTCAAGCAGTTCCCTGTCCTTCTTGAACTGAGGGGCCCAGAACTGGACACAATACTCCAGATGCAGCCTCACCAAGGCAGAAGAGAGGGGGAGGAGAACCTCTCTTGACCGACTAACCACCCCTTTCTAATGCACCCCAGGATGCCATTGGCCTTCTTGGCCACAAGGGCACATTGCTGGCTCATGGTCATCCTCCTGTCTAGCAGGACCCCCAGGTCCCTTTCACCTACACTGCTCTCCAGCAGGTCAGCCCCCAACCTGTACTGGTCCATGGGGTTGTTCTTCTCCAGGTGCAAGACTCTACACTTGCCCTTGTTGAACTTCATCAGGTTTCTCCCTGCCCAACTCTCCAGCCTGTCTAGGTCTCGCTGAATGGCAGCACAGCCTTCTGGTGTGTCAGCCACTCCTCCCAGCTTAGTGTCATCAGCAAACTTGCTGAGGGCACACTCTGTTCCCTCATCCAGGTCGTTGAGGAAAATACTGAATAGTACCGGTTCCAGTACTGACCCCTGAGGGACTCCACTAGTCACAGACCTCCAACTAGATTCTGCCCCATTGACCACAACTCTCTGACTTCTTCCTTTCAACCAGTTCATGATCCACCTCACTACCTGATCACCAAACCCATACTTGATCAACTTATCTACAAGGATGCTGTGGGAGACAGTGTCAAATGCTTTACTGAAATCAAGATATACCACATCTACTGCTCTACCATCATCTACCCACCTAGTTACTTCCTCATAGAAGGCTCTAAGGTTGGTCAAACATGACGTTCCCTTGGTAAAACCATGTTGACTGCTCTTAATGACCCCCTCATCGTTGATATGCCTAGAGATAGTGCCAAGAACAAGTCGTTCCATCACCTTTCCAGGGATGGAGGTGATGTGGACCAGTCTATAGTTATTCGGGTCCTCCTTCTTGCCCTTCTTGTACACTTGCCCTTCTTGTAGAGTGACATTTGCTATCCTCCAGTCCTCAGGCACCTCTCCTGTTGCCCACGACTTACCAAAGATGATGGAGAGTGGCCTAGCAATGACCTCCGCCTGCTCCCTCAGCACCCGCGGGTGTTTTCCATCCGGACCCATCGATTTATGGATGTCCAGACTGCTTAACTGATCCCTAACCCGATCCTCATCTACCATGGCAAACTCCTCCTTCATCCTGACTTCTTCTGGGGCTATAGGGATCTGGGGCTCCTGGGGAAAGCCTGCAGCAGTAAAGACAGAGGCAAAGAAGGCATTCAGCACCTCTGCCTTCTTTATATCCTCTGTCACCAGGGCACCCACCTCATTCAGCAGCGGGCCTATATTGCCTCTAGTGTTAGTTCTATCTGCAATGTATTTGAAGAAGCCCTTTCTATTGTCTTTGACCTCCCTAGCAAGGTTTAGTTCCAAGGAGGCCTTAGCTTTCTTTATTGCCTCCCTACATCCTCTGACAACAGTCCTATATTCCTCCCAAGTGGCCAGCCCCTCCTTCCATGATCCATAGATTCTCTTTTTCCACTTGAGTTTGCCCAGCAGTTCCTTGTTTAACCATGCGGTTCTCCTGGCTCCCTTACTTGATTTCCTACCCATTGGGATGCTCTGATCCTGAGCTTGCAAGAAGTGGTCCTTGAATGTTGACCAACTATCTTGAGCCCCTTTACCATCTAGTACCCTGTCCCATGGGACTTCTCTCAATAATTGATTGAAGAGGCCAAAGTTGGCCCTGTGGAAGTCCAGAGTTCTGGTCCTGCTGGGTATTCTGTTCCTCCCACACAGGATCCTGCACTCCACCATCTCATGGTCACTGCAGCCAAGGCAGCCATTGACTTTCACCACTTCAACCAGACCCTCCTTGTTGGTGAGCACAAGATCCAGCAGCGCTCCTCTCCTAGTCGGCTTGCCCACCATTTGCATTTAGAAGTTATCATCAATGCACTGGAGGAACCTCCTAGACTCTGAATGGCAATTCTTGGTAAAAGATTTGTATAATGAAAACACCTATTACAATATTTCAATCAGATTATAAATGAATACACCATCTCTTCAGAGGGCATTCTTAAGTATACAGGAACAAAAAGGAAGTGTGCCAAATAAGAAGCCTTGACCAGATTATTTGGCAGGGCTACAGAGACGAGAGCAAGCCAGAAGAGGCCAAAAAGCCTACTACACAGGAAAGTCACTTTCATAGTTCGGACTCTTCTCCCAGGCAACTAGCAAGAAGACAAGAGGGCACAACCGGAATCTGTGCCAGGGGAGGTTTAGGTTGGATATTAGGAAGTACTTCCTCACGGAGAGGGTGATTAGACATTGGAATGGATTTCCCAGGGAAGTGGTGGAGGCACCGTCCCTGGATGTGCTTAAGGAAAGGCTGGATGTGGCACTTAGTGCCATGATCTGGCTGATGTGGTGATGTTAGGTCACAGGCTGGACTTGATGATCCTAAAGATCTTTTCCAGCCTTGGTGATTCTGTGATTCTGTGATGAAAACAAGTTGACTCTGACTTCAAATTCCCAGGTTGATTATATTAGAAATAGCTTCAGAAAAAAACAAAACACAACTGTGAAATATACTCTTTTGGCTCTTTTATATTTTGAAAATTATTTATTTTTTAAAGGGTGGGAAGGACAGAATTCCAGGGCTTTTTCCTCATACAATGTACATCATGCTTGTATTTAGAAATAAACTGCAATTCAAATAAAAGCATAGAATATCTTAAAATAGCTAGCTTTCATTATTTGCATTAGATTACCTTGATTGTGCCCTGAAACTTGAAAAAATAGCAAGATCAGCAAAATATATTTACTAAAACAGCATAGATTCAGATAGTGAATTGAGCCTACTCTACTGTCTTTAGTCATCATGTCCTTGTTTTAAGGCAACAGGACTTGTTCATTCCAGTTCCTTATTTTCAAATAAAGATAAATAAAGTGAGGCAGTGACAAGCCTTTCTCTTTCACCTACTCCTGAGTTTTTAAACATAAAATATGGCAGATGAAGAAGCAAATTAACCTAACACAAGGGCTAATCCCACAAAAGGTAGTTCAGTGTTTCAAGAAACTCTTGCAACAGGAGTTTGACCAATGACTTCTACCAGTTCAATATTTTGACTTCTTTCAAACCTTACCTGCAAATACTTAGTGCTGAAAAGCTGCCCCTTCTCCAGAAGCTTATGATTTGCATCTTGATGGCTCATTATTAGACACACATAATGATACATATATACACATATAAATACATAAGCAGCATCTTCCAATTTTAATATTTCTGAATATCAGAAAGACATGAAAAAGTAGGGGTTTTCCCCTCAAATCATAGAATCCTAGGGGTTGGAAGGGACCTCGAAAGATCATCTAGTCCAACCCCCCTGCCAGAGCAGGGTCACCTAGAGTACATCACATAGGAACGTGTCCAGGTGGGTTTTGAATGTCTCCAGTGAAGGAGACTCCACAACCTCCCTGGGCAGCCTGTCCCAGCTCAGTCTCCTTTTCTCCAAGCTAAAGAGACCCAGCTCCCTCAGCCTTTCCTCATAAGGCAGATGTTCCACTCCCTTCATCATCTTCGTAGCTCTGCGCTGGACTCTTTCGAGCAGTTCCCTGTCCTTCTTGAACTGAGGGGCCCAGAACTGGACACAATATTCCAGATGCAGCCTCACCAAGGCAGAAGAGAGGGGGAGGAGAACCTCTCTTGACCGACTAACCACCCCTTTCTAATGCACCCCAGGATGCCATTGGCCTTCTTGGCCACAAGGGCACATTGCTGGCTCATGGTCATCCTCTTGTCTAGCAGGACCCCCAGGTCCCTTTCACCTACACTGCTCTCCAGCAGGTCAGCCCCCAACCTGTACTGGGACATGGTGTTGTTCTTCCCCGAATGCAAGACTCTACACTTCCCCTTGTTGAATTTCATCATGTTTCTCCCCGCCCAACTCTCCAGCCTGTCTAAGTCTCTCTGAATGGCAGCACAGCCTTCTGGTGTGTCAGCCACTCCTCCCAGCTTAGTGTCATCAGCAAACTTGCTGAGGGTACATTCTATACCCTCATCCAGGTTGTTGATGAAGATGTTGAACAACACCGGTCCCAGTACCCACCCCTGAGGGACTCCACTAGTCACACACCTCCAACCAGATTCTGCCCCATTGACTACAACTCTCTGCCTCCTTCCTTTCAACCAGTTCCTGATCCACCTCACTACCTGATCACCAAACCCATACTTGATCAACTTATCTACAAGGATGCTATACAACTTCTTTTTTCACTGTAGGCAATTAAATTCAATTTCTGGGTTATATACTTTCAGTTTCTCTTGGCAAGTCTTGAAATTTCAACAGTATAATACTAAAAACAAGCTCAGAAGAAACACTTGGGTCACTAAGTCCAATTATCCTCAGATAGTCAACCGAGCTATAAACTCTTGCTTACACCTTTACAAAATGATGCATCTTTGTTCCAATTTTTCTTATTGAAATGGCTGTTCTTGGACCTCATTACAGTAATAAATCTCCTGTTAGCTCCCACCAGAAATTTACTTTTGGTCAGATTATAATGATTTGGTTTTGCACCATTATCAGCTTTTAACATAAACAGTTCTTTTTCTTTTTTTTGCATTTTGTCTTCCTGATGTATTTAAAGACAGCACACAAACCTCATCTGCTCCTTTTGTAGGCTGCACATCCAAGAAAAAAGCCTTATATGTTCACCCGCTTGTTTCCATTCTAGCAGCCATTCTTTGCACCTGCTAATTAGAGTAACTTTTTTGTACTTTGTCCAAAACTAAGGTACTAGGTTTCAAGTATATTCAGCATATTCCATAACTCTCTCTAGCTGACTATCAGTCTACTCTTCTCTCTTTCTCTTCAGTAAAGATGATGAGATGCATATTTTAGAGAAGTATTTTATCATTTATATGGTTTTCTTTATTTGTGAGGTAACCAGATATGTTACTGAATGATATTCCTGTGTTTCAGGTTTACTTACAAGTGTTTAACATCTACATTTAATTTCATTTTTAAATTAGCATGTTTTAAATATATTTTTTAAATTCAAGCAATGAAAAAATTAATTTTTTAAATACCAAATCTGATTTTGAATATATTTACTTTTAATAACTTAAAAAAAATATATATCTTTTTAGTATTTTTAAAATGGTATTTACTGAAGAAGTAGAAGGGAACATAACAAAGACACAAAAAAAAGAAAGAAGAGTACTTACGGTCTGTAAGACTAGCAATCCCTGCAAGAGTAGTGATGGGAACATGAGGCATATCCCCATTCATCCTGAAGTTCTGGGATGGTAGCGTCTACACAGATATTTTAGTTCAGGTGCCAGCTATCATTACTTCCCATCTCCCAAGCACTAAAAAAACAACAACAACAAATTACAATTCTTAGTTTACTTAAGATAATTTTAAATTCAATAACATAAATGAAATACAGACCATAACCTCAGCTGCATGCTAATTAAATTTTGTCAAAAGTGGGCAGAAAAATGTAGAATTTAAATACCAAATGGCATTAAGCGATCAAAACACAAGCTTTTGGTCTCAGAAGCAGAACCCTTCACCAGAAATGAAGCAAGATAAGGCAATCAGAAGAAAAGTCGCTCAGGTTATACAATATCAACTAAAAAATATATATAACAAAATGACCATTGGTTCATACTGCAGTGGACAGCACTTAATCCATAACCAGTTTAAGAAATTAGCTGCTATATTTACTTCCCAGTTTTGGAGAAGGAGATATTCTTCATTTAAGAAGCTAGCAAAAACAAAAGCAGTAATTTACAGATGCAAAAGTCAAGTGAAAAATACAAAATCTTAGTCACCACTGAACTAGTTAGTTTATTTCCTGTAAAACAGCACAGTTTATATTCAACTACTGAAAAAGGAATTTGTGCATCCAGTTTTGTAAGGAAGCCCATACTATTAAACTCAAAGAAAAAAAACCACACAAACCAACTCCCTCAACGAAAAGATAGAGATCATCACAATAATTTCAACTGCAGTTCCCAAGCAACAAAAAATTCCAAAGATTACAATCCAATATTTTTCTACTAATGAAATGACAAAAATAGAACATTATCTTTTCTGAAGACAAGCAAAATAAATTAAAGGAAAGTAACTTTATATATATATACATTTACCTATTATAGACAGGCTCCTGTGTTAACAGTTTGCAAAACAGTAAAAAGACTTCTTCTTTCAGCATTTATGCCATCTACTGAAGATGCTGAAACTATGATTTGCTTACACTTACTTTACAAGTGTCCTGGTTTGAGCCAGGATGAAGCCAATTTTCGTTTTGCTATTTTTTTTTTCCTTCAGTAAGCTTTCTTTTAACTAGCAACATTGTGCTCTAGCTAAAGCTGATAAGACAGTGGAATGTTTTTCTAACTACTGAGGCTTCAAGGCCGCACCTTCACTCTGCCGGCTCAGACACTGTGGGGAGATCTGTGACCCCCCCGTAGGAGGCTGAGTTAGACAGACAGCAAAATTGGCCAAAGATATTCCATTCCATATATCTACGTAAGCTCAAAGGAAGGTCAGAGATCACAGAAGACAACTTCCTTCCTTCTTCTTCTCCCCTTCTCTTCCGTCCATGGCCGGTATCCGGGAAGGACTCTGCTCATCCATCACCGTCGACCCTTAGGCTTGATCTCTCGTGACCCCCATAACTCTCTGCTTTCTCCAGCAGCAGCTCCGGGATTCCTCGGGACTCTTCCCAGTTCAGGGAAGTGCTGTGGGAGTTGCTGGGGTGGGGGGAGGCAAGAGGCTTTTGCCCATACCTGAACATATCTGTATATAATTGTATATATTTTCCTGTATGATTCATTAGTGTTTTAATTAAAGCTGTGTAGTTTAGTTTTCAATCCAGCCAAGTCTCTCTCTTTTTCTCTCTCTCCTTCCCTACCTGGGTGGGAGGGGGAGGGGATCGAGAGCATTGTTGTCAGACCTGAGTCAAACGGTGACAACAATCCAACAGTTTTTGAAATTATATATAAACCAAAAGATCACTGTCATTTCTATCTCAGTCATTTTAATCTCATTCTTTCTTATGCCACACCAATGAGATTTTTTTAATCCAGGAGAAAACACTTCAAACATCCAGAGCAGTTTCCAATACTACTTGATACTGGAGTTTCTTTACCCGAAACGAATGCATATACATATATACACAGAATTTCAGTGGTTTCTTTAGTTCCATAAATAAGGAATTCTTAATTTAAAAAAAAAAGGACTTAACTTTTCCCACAATAAGTCTGCAACAGCAAAGTCAGAAAAGCTAAAAAAAAGTTTAGATTTTAAGTTGTAATTGAAAGGTAAGAACACCTTTCACACATAGGTTGCATATACAAGAAAAAGGTCATGTCTGATTATCTCTCCTCTCCTGACTGAAACTGCATCAAAGCTAAGGCTTACCAGAAATCCTGTATGCAACACAGAAACAAGGGGGGATGTCCTGGTTTGAGCCAGGATTAAGCCAATCTTCCTTTTACTGATTTTTCTTTTTTTTTTTCCCATTCAGTTAACTCTCTTTATAAGCAGCACGTAAGTTTTCCAGCTAGTGGACTGATAGCACTTGAATGTTTATGTTACTGCTGGGAGACCAGGGACATTTTACTCTGCTTGTTGAATCTACTGCTTCAGATACTAAAGGAGCTGAAGAGTCATATCTGCAACCCTCCTGTAGGGAGGAGCAGACTAGACAGATGGCAAAACTGACCAACCAAAGTATTCCATTCCATATATCTACGTAGAATTTGATAAAAATTCAGGGATCACAGAAGTCAACTCCCTTCTTCCTTTTCTCCTTCTCTTCCATCCATGGCCGGCATCCAGGGAGGACTCCATTTATCCATCACCGTTGATCCCTAGGCTCGTGCATTCCTGACCCTCTTAACTCTCCCCTCAGCTCCTGCCTCTTCCATTTTGGAACTGCTAAGGAAAGTGCTGTGGGAGTTGCTGGGGGTGGGGAGAGGTGATAGGAGTTTTGCACATTCCTGCACATACTTGTATATAATTGTACACATTTTCTTTTATCATTAGTATTTCATTAAAGCTGTGTAGCTTAGTTTTCAATCCAGAAAGTCTCCTTATTCTCTCTCTCCTTCCCTACCTGGATGGGAGGGGGAGGGGATTGAGAGCATTGTTGTCGCTAGTTTAATTGCTGATCCCAAGCCAAACCGTGTTGGGGGGAATCTCTTCACATTCCCTTCCTGATTGCCTGGGAAAGCTGTAAACATCAGACACTTAAAATAAAAACTTTCTCCACAGATACAAGATAATAAACATGAACTGGCAAGATCCAGATCTGAGAGTGGAACAAGTGCAGAGAGCAAGGATGGTCAGGGAAAGAAGAGCAAGCTTTCTAAGAGGAGATTAGAAGGGGTTAGTTTGTTTAGCTAACAAAATAAAGGTCAAGGGGGGATGTGGTTGCTCTCTCCAAGGCAGTCAAAGAAGGTTACAAAGGAAGAATGCTACAGGGCAATGCTAACACAACAATAAATGGCAGCCATGAATGCAAGCAAGAAGAAAACCAGAATGGAGCTTCTCACCCTCAGAGCTGCCACTTTCTTTCCATTAGGAGTAGTAGCATAGATAAGCAACACCATTACTTTAAAGATGGATCATACAGATGTTACAGAATGTAGTTGCCTGCACCAGCTGGGAACTAACCACACTGATGCAAGAAGTCTGTCTCTTACCCTATGAAGTTTGTTTTTATGTATGACAATGTGGGTAAACAGATGAGAGTAAACAAAAGACAGAGGGAGACCGATGGATTACGTGATGGGATTAGATTACACAAAAAGCACAATATGATGAAACCACATGGGAATATTTGGGTCCAAATATTACATCTGCTGTGTTGAGAGCAAAACTGCATCTGTTATACAACTGGCAAAAAAGAATTCAATTCCAGAACTAGAGACTGAGGTCCAGTGAAACTAGAACTCAAATTTGATGTCACCAAGAACATTACTGAACTCACTCATTTAGGGAATTCAAAATATCAAGCAGTTAGGGGAAAAGATACATGTAGAACAGCATGCAACAACTAATAGCTTGACTGGCAGACAAGTTTTGTGCTTTGGTTTTTCATTCCCCAACTGTAACAAGAGTTAAAAGTACTACATCATAGCAGCTTGCAATTAGGCAAGAAGAATTGATATTTAGAAAATTTTACATTATCAGCTTTGTACAGTAGCTATTACCAGTAGCAGAGCATTCCTACCTCTAGATTGAAAAAAATGAAACTGTTAATGAATATTAGCTGAATTAAGAAAATCAAAGAACTGCTGCATTGGAAAGCTTTTAAACAACATATCAGGGTGTAGCAGTTCAGAGTAGAAACTCATTTTACATTTATGCAAATGAGGTCTTGCATATTCAGTAATACTCTTGATGCTTTATAAGAAACAACAGATATTGTAAAAGACATTGCAGGGAGGAAGAAACTACAGTGTACAAAGGGTGATACAAAGTACCCCTTAGTGAAAGGAAAACAATGAAAGGACAGCATATATCGAGAATAATATATTAAAAGCTACCATCATAATGATGTCAGCTCTTAACAGGACAACAATAATACACAATTAAAAAGTGAAGCCAAGACAATATAGCAAGGAAAGTAGTATTATAAAAGTTTATGCTATGGATAATAACTACACATTCAAAGTGCTACTTCTGTATGTTACTTTCTTCCCTTTTTTTCTTATCAATTATGTATATTCTCCTTTACTGCAAATTAACATTCCAAAGAAAATTCCTATCAAAATGTTAAATTAAAAAAAAACAACAAACACAAAACCAACCCACAAGTTTTTAAGTAGAAAGTAAATATGTGGTTGGTAAAACAGTCCATAATATGGACACAGAAAATATCTACAGCCTTCAGTGGCACAAAGTATGGGCCATGTCATGCGAATCCTCTCAACAACTCATCTCTATATATATACTCCATTTCTCACCATAGTACAAGGTTAATGGCAGAGTGGAAAACTAACAGGGGGAGAGGGGGAATTATTTAGAGAGAATGGACAGGCATGGATAAAATTAAGGGAAGAAAAGAGGATGAAAGTAAGTTGTGAACAATTTAGGTAAAGAATCAGTGACACTCAGTGAAAAGACAGACAGACTACAACCAGGGAAGAAAGACAAGCAAACAAAAATACTCCATACCAAACAAACAGAGCACCACCAAAAAAACCCAACACACACCACAAAAAAAAAATCCAAGAAAAAGGAAACTATCTGCACTTTTTTTTCTTGTAATTGCAGCATCTGACTATCAATGAAACAATCAAAAGACTGACCACTATTTACTGGTTCAAGCTTTGCATTTATGAAATATTCCTCTTGGTT